ATGAGCAAGAACCCTAACCCTAACCCTAAACCTAACCCTAACCATAAACCTAACCCTAACCCTAATCCTAACCCTAACCCTAACCCTAACGCAAAAAAGGGGCTTGAACGACCGACGGCTGGCGTACCTCCAGCCACTGCGTTAATAATAATACTAATAGTAATATTACTAGTAATACTAATAGTAATACTACTACTACTAGTACTAGTACTAGTACTACTACTACTACTAGTACTAGTATTACTATTAGTAATAGTTAAGTTAGTGCCTAAACCGACCAGGCTCTCCGACTGTTACACGGAAAAGACTAGGGTAATCCCCGGGCACTCTGTGAGGGCGAGCCCACAATGTAGGGCTGGTCGGTTAGGGTATGGTTAGGGTTAGAGTTGGGCCTACCCTACCCTACCCTACCCGACCACCCCTACACTGTGGGCTCGCCCTCACAGAGTGCCCGGGGATTAGTCTTACCCCTGTTACACGGCGTAGACCAACGTAGTGTTAAGCGAGGGTGTGAATAAAACCCGGACCCGGACCCGGAAAACCTGCATAAAACCCGGACCCGGACCCGGAAAACCTGCATAAAACCCGGACCCGGACCCGGAAAACCTGCATAAAAACCGGACCCGGACCCGGAAAACCTGCATAAAACCTGGACCCGGACTACACACACACACACACAACACAACACAGCACAGCACATGACAGCACACACACGCGCGCACACGCACACAAAAACGCACGCGCGCACACACACGCACGGGCACACACACACACACGCGCACAGAAACACGCACACACAACCACGCAAAAAAGCACGCACGCACATACACACACAACACATGCTCATGCACGCACGTACACAGAAACACATGCGCGCACACAGACACACAACCACGCAAAAACGCACGTGCGCACGCACACACGCACGAACATACACACACACACACACATGCACGTACACGCACAGACACAGACACACACACACATGCACGCACGCACACACACAAACGCGAGCACACACACACCACCACCACGCAAAACCGCACACACGCACAGATACACACACATACTACGCCCGGACTGATGCAGAATGCGTCCGTACTGGTACATAATGAGTCCGGACTGGAGTAGAATGGGTCCAGACTGATACAGCATGGGTCCGGACTGATGTAGAATGGGTCCGTGCTGATACAGCATAGGTCCGGACTGATGCAGAATGAGTCCGGACTGGTAAATAATGAGTCCGGACTGGTGTAGAATGGGTCCAGACTGGTGTAGAATGGGTCTGGACTGATACAGCATGGGTCTGGACTGATGCATAATGAGTCCGGACTGGTACATAATGAGTCCGGACTGGAGTAGAATGGGTCCGGACTGATACAGCATGGGTCCGGACTGGTACATAATGAGTCCGGACTGGAGTAGAATGGGTTCGGACTGATACAGCATGGGTCCGGACTGGTACATAATGAGTTCGGACTGGAGTAGAATGGGTCTGGACTGGTTCAGAATGGGTCCGGACTGATACAGCATGGATCCGGACTGATACGGAATGAGTCCGGACTGGTGTAGAATGGGTTCGGACTAGTGCTGTGCATCGGATCCGATAATCCGAATCCGATCGGATTCGGATCGGATTTACAATTTTTAAATAATTGGATTCGGATTCGGATTCGGATTCAAAATTGTCGTCGGATTCGGATTCAAAATTGTCGTCGGATTCGGATTCGGAGTCGGAGTTTCAAAAATGCTGTCGGATTCAGATTCGGATCGCCGGGATCGGACCGTAGAATCCGACCTCCATCCTGTTACGTTTATGGGTTGGATAACTTGGATTCTAACTCAGTCTCAGATTAAACGTATAACAAATAAACAAAACAACACAAGATATTTATTTTCGCATCATGGTTCAGCAATCAGCACATCATGTACATGATCACAAATGTACATGACACTTTGTTCTAACTCCTGTCTTCCAAGTTCTAAGTTCTAATTGACATGGTGGTACGAAACGGCCATACTATATTCATCTGAAGTTCGGATGAATATAGTACAACTACAGACGTTTCGTAAATTCGTAGTAATTTCGT